TACCTAGCTTGTTTGACATTCTAAAGATCAAATTCTCAGAACTTAGGCACCTATTGGTCTTAAGTGATCTATCAGGCTATTAAAGTTCGAGAATTCAAATGTTAATTAAATTGTGGGTTTTTGAATTTGGTTGTTTCAATTTTAATCTCAGTATTGTGTAAATTTTGTAAGAATATCGAAGAAAATTAAAAACCAGTAAATAGGAAATATTTAAAAATGTGATCTTAAATTACTTACCTCTCAAGCATCCCGTGAAGCAAAGGGTAAAACCCTGCAGCGCTACGAATTTGATCACGAAAAGCTTTTGAATGTCCAGTAAGTATTTACTGCAAACTGTTATATTAATAGCATAAAGTTTATTAAAAAATATTTTTGTTTGTACTGAATGAAAATAAAAACAAAAAGGTTTCGGTATTTTAATAAGTTTAGATAGACAGATGGGATTGGGTTCATGGGGTTGGTGGTGTTCTCATTGAGTCACAGGGGCTTCAACTCTTGTAATTAATATACCCCATACCCATTTACAGGTCATAGATTCACTTGGATCTACCATTAGTTTAATTATTTCTCTTTATCATAACCTTTCTTTTTCTTTTTTTTTTTTTTCCTCCATAACTTATAATATAACATAGTGTTGTCAATTTCCAATCCATGATCTTTGATTCGTTGTCACACTATATGGTTCATTAAAATACCTCCTTGATTATCGTTATCAAATTTTTTTTTTCCCCTTTGGATTCTTGTATGCTCTCGATCTGTCGGCACCTTTAGCTTTCCGGAGAGGCATGAAAGATGACAGGTGACCATATATATATATATATATATATAGCATAAAGAGTGTTTTAAAATTAATTAGTTTAATAATTTATGAATTTAGTGGCAATGTTGGTTGCTTTTAAACATGGTTATGTTGGGAAAAAGGGATTATTTTTGTCTGATTTTATGATCCAAATCAAAAACAGGGTTTGGATTATTTGTTTGTCTCAATATGGTTTTGGTGTTGGGAAAAGGGTGAAGATTTCTTGTGCTTTGTGAGATTATAATTTCCAAAATTAAGATTAACCAACCAAATTATGGTTTTTTAATCACAAAATTCCTCGATGTTCATGCACAATCCCATTTTTTTTTTTTTTTCAGTTACGAGAATAAAATAAATTTATATTTGTGGTTCGATTACTTTAAATTATTAAGTATGATTATTTCAATTATGTCCTCAACATTGTAAAAAATTTCAATTCAGGCCTTACTCAATAGCATTATTACAAGTGAATAACAGAATATTTAACCCAATTTATTGAAGTCCATCACTGGCTGCCCCAGTTCACTCTGTCAACGACAATTCTTTCCAATTTTCTCGGCCAACCCACATTTTCTATGATGATTTCCCAGCAGCCAAACAGAGAGAAACCATTCAACCGTATTCTCTTTAAGATCTGAAACAAGATCTTGGTTGTTTCTGATGTGTTCCGAAATTTGCAAGAACACTCAACTGAGGAGAAGAAGAAAGAGAATGAAGAACAGACCCAACTCAATTGTCCAATCAACAAAATACAATATAATAATATATAAATATATTTGCCTAAAATATGAATCCTACAATATTACTTTTATTTCTAAATTTTAAAACCAAAGGAATAACTAAAAACCAAGACCGTATATGTACTTGATGTGGGAGTACAAAAATACCAAACTCCAAGAAAATATTTCCCAAACAAAGTGTATAAATTTACAATTCTCCTCTTGCGCCAGCGCTGGGTTACTGCCTTATTCAAATGCCACCACTTTTAAGCCAATTCCTTCACCCTCGAACTGACCCGAATCAAACCGAACGAGTTAGTCGAGCTCAATTATGTTGAACAAGGATATGAAAATGGGGTATACATGCATTCTCCAAAATTACACATTTCATGATTGAATTGTAGAGAGAGATGAGATGAGAGGAGAGTAAAAAGAAAAAGGAAGGGGGTGAGATAGTGACAAGGTTAGAGGCATTTTTCACAGAAATGTAGGAGAATATGAGGGGGGGAAATAAAAGAGGTAAAAAATAATGGGGGAGGAGAGAGAGGGAGTGTAAGATGAGTAAGTATGATGATTGAAGATAAAAAGGAAAAGTTGGGGAATCTTCTCTGCACACAGTAATTCCCTTTTCACCATGTTTTGAATTCTGATTGAATGAATCTCAATTCTCAACACTACACAACTCCACTTCAAATAATAATTCCTTCCTTTTTATTTATTTATTTTTTTTATTTTTTAAAGCCCTCTCCCCATGCATGCTTCAAACGTGTAGTAGTACCCTAAATAAAACTTCATAATTTACAAAAAAAAAAAAAAAAAAAAAAAAAAAAAAAAAAAAAAAAAAAAAAAAAAAAAAAAAAAAAA